AAGGCTTAGAAACTTTTCCCTCACCAAAGACCAGATGACTATTTCAGACTGCATCAGCCCTAAAAATCAGCACCGCAGGATGGATGAAATGAAAGAAACAGCACATGAAATGAAAGAAATGTGCATGCATCCATATTGGAGCAATATGATGACAGATATTTTAGTCATGGGAATAAGGACACCACCTCTGCAGCACAGCAGTCCAATCCCACATGTAGCCAGCCTCAGCACAACCACAATTCCAGCATCCCAAGAGGACAGGGCCTCACTCAACAGCAAAGAGGAAACACCCCCAGCAAAGCAAACATGAAGAAAACCCTCAAAACCACAGCTCACTCTCTTGAGCTCACTCCTTTGCCTTGTCTGCAGGGCTCTGGGCCATATGTATAGCTGCTTTAGCACAAGTCCCACCAGCAGTTTCTCTCCAGGTAGCCTGGCAAGCTGGGCACGCACCCACTGAGCAAACCCCCAGTAACTCTGCTCTGCCTGAGGCGACACCTCAGCTCAGCCATTGGAGCTAAGCCGGGGCCCTTCTGTCCCACACTCAGTTGCAGCACTGACTGTGTCAGAGACAACACCTTCAGGACATCAACTTCAAGCCTATCCATAGGGTACCTGAGCACTCCATAATAAACAACAAAAATAGCATCAATCTACACCTATCCATCAATCACTCTAAGCACCCCAAAGGTGAAGCATCATACTTCAGCCACAGACCCTGGCTGAGAGCAGAAAGCACCACTGATCTCCTTGTGATAGGATCAAGATGTCAATCTGTTCTCTACACTCTCAGCTCTCCTTCCTCCCCATCTGATTTATTCTGCTGGTTACCTGACTGCACACGCTGAGCTTCTTGGCCTCAAAATGTTGACATTAGCTTAGCCTCAAAAATTCTCATCTCTTCTGCAACTTCTCCGAAGAAATGCCTTTTCCCCCCTAAATCTCATAAGCAAACTACTGTCTGGATCAACACAATCACTTGCTCCTCCTTTACAGTCCTGGAAACAAAGGTGCAACTTTAGAGCCTGTACTATTTCTCTGACATCACGACTAAGGCATAAAGGAGGTTCTCCGGACTGGATGCAAGTGACATTGACTTGGAAATAACCTAGAACTAGCTCTAAGTGAAACTGTCTTCACCCAGAACAACACTGTACAGAACAGACACAAGGCTACTCCTGACATTCCGGTAAGAAGTCCCAGAAATTCGCAGGCACACAGCAAACTCTTGTGCAAGCATGTGGAGAGCTGAGCAGAAACACGACCCCAGCTATCCAAGTCTCCATGTACTCTCTGGGTGCTAAGCGAGAGGAGGAATGGACACCTTCCTCTCAGTTATCTATTCCAAGTCTTCTGGTAGTCTACAAAGAGGACAGACTGTTCCAGCGGCTGCACCCTCCAGCTACCACACCTGAGACATTTTGCTCTTAGGGTCCCCAAATGCATCAGCTGCAGCAGCAGCCTAAGCCAACCTAAAGCAGAGGGGCACAAAGAGGTGCGGGAAGGAACAGCCCTGTGTCCATGCAGACACACACACAGCGCGCGGCTGCGGCACAGGCAGGCGAGGACAAGCCCCAGCTCTGCGAGTCCCCTTCCGGCGTCTCCATTCATTGCGAGAGGAGTCCGGCTCAGCTTCTCCCCCACAGAAAGCGGCCACTCACCCAGCCCTCGAAGCTGTCGCTGGGGCCGGCGGAGCGCAGGAGGTCCTGGAAGGGCAAGGTGCAGTTGGCCACGAAGTCATCGTAGCCGATGGGGGTGTCGTGGAAGACGGAGAGCTCGATCTGATGGCCGTCGGAGACCGTGGCCGAGAACTCCTCGTTGTAGGTGGGTTTGTTGGTCTTCTGCTTGGTGCTGGTCTGCCCCACGCGCACCTGGTCCACGCTGACGGTGACATAGGGATCCAGGAGTTGGTAGCCCTTGCGGAAGAGCGAGTGCCGGAGGGACCAGCGGGTGGGCTGCAGCCCCACCGCCTCCCCGATGCGCACCTTCAGGTCGCCGTTGAACTTCATGGCTCCGGACATGCCCGCCCCGCCGGGAGCCCGGAGCACAGCCACAGCGCTCTCCCGCCCGGACACGCACCCAGCCTCTCCTGCCGGGCCGGCAGCAGCCCCGCCGCACCTCCTCAAGGGGCCGGGCGGCGGCACCGCGCCCGCCCCCGGGCCATGCCGGAGCTGCGGAACCGCCGCGCACCGCCCGCCTCCCGCAGCCGCTCCACCGCCCGGCCCGGCCTCCTCCTGCCCAGGAGGCTCGGTTGGGTTGGGTTGGGCTGGGCGGGGCGGGGCTGAGCTCGGCCGGGCTGTGCTCGGCTCGGGGACACCTGGGCGTGGGGCGGTGCCGGGCGGGGAGGAGTCGCGAAGCCGCGCCGCGGGGGCGGGCCCGGGTTGGGGACGGGCGGTCGCACGGCTCGGCTCGGCTCGGCTCGGCTCGGCTCGGCTCGGCTCGGCTTGCTCCCGTCTCGCCCCGCTTTAGCCCAGGCCCGGCCGGCAGGAGCCGCTGCCCAGCCCCGAGAAGCGCGGCGGGGACACACAGCCGCTGACAAGGCCGGGACAAACCTCCGCCCCGCCCGCCGGGCTCCAAAGCCGCCGCTCCACATCTCCCGGCGAGGGCTGAGCCTGCCCCTGCTCCGACCTGCGGCATCTCGGCGCCTGCACGGCCAGAGCAGCGACCCAGGGCAGCGCTGCCCCAGCCGCCCGCACGGAGGAGGACATCGAGATGGGCTGGGTTTACCTTGGAATCTTTATTGGAACAGCTCTGCCGGTTGGGCATTAATTGCAGCGGATTAACGCTTTTGGCACTGGCGTGCAGGCTTTGTTTTGGGGTGTGTTTCTTGGGAGCTTTGATCGCACTTTCTTAATAAAGTTGGAATGAAAAGGTTTTTAACTGCTTTCCAAAGTTCACAGCAAAATGGGGTGACTGGGTAGCGAACAAGAAAATCCTGCTTTCCCTGTGGCACTGTTTGGCTGACATCGTCCCAGTGAGGTTGCACTGCCTAGGATGTGGTCCTTTGAACAACCCCAGCGCAGCTGGATGGTGCCGAGGCTGGCTGAGAGCTTGCAGCCTTTTTTGAGGGTGTGTTTCTTTCCTCGTTTCTTTTCTTGTACTTTTCCAGACCACTCTTCTCATCTCAACCCTTCATCTTTCCCATTCTAGCCATGCCAGAGCAGACTGCCCCTGGTTTTCCACCCCCTTTCTTCCTTGCCCCCTTGCCCATGCTTTTTTCTTCTTCCAGAGCTCCAAGTTTTGCGGGAGCACCAAGCCAAGGCTCATTCCAGCCTCGGGAAGAGCAGGGGGCTTCCCATTGCCTCCACTAGAGAGAGCAGGTGCAACAGCTTCAGTAATGTCATCATTCCTCACAGGGAAGCAGGTTTTCTGACAGAAAACCTGGTAGAGTCTGAAATCAGATTTCTGACATGCCTTCTTCTGAGGCTTCTAAGTTCCTTGATCTCTCCCTATTAGCCAGAGAAAAGAAGTGTGGAAGACTTTTTGGAGCTCGGATAGGACAGCTCACCCTGGAGAGGAACACGGGCTTCACCTTAGAAATTGCATAACTGTACAAAATCCAGCCACCACACACTCGGGGATCTTGTGTCCAGCAATGACCAGCTCCAGACCTTTTAACAGCTTGTATGGCCAAGTAAACACAGAGTACTCCTTTCTCATCAAACACTCGAAGATTTAGTTATTTGAGGGTTTTTGGATGGGGTGGAGTGCGGGGGAGTGGACATTGATGTTCCTTCTGAAAAGCATTCTAGCATGAGCTGTGATCATTCTGGGGAGTTTTATTTTCTCTCCTTTGAATCTTCATACCTTCTTGGCTTCCTCCAACCCACAGCAGCGAGCTGGTCCAAAAGAAACATTTCTTTTTGTCATCTAGGTATCTGCTCTCACTTCCATGTCTTGATTCACCACTCTGCTGCTTTCATGACACCCTCAAATAAAAAAGTCCCCTATCTCCCTTCTCAAGAGCATCACTAGTTGTCACTTGGCACTTTCAGCCTCTCTCTCCTTCTTACTTAGAGCTGTCCCTTGGAGCTGTCCACATGAACCAGGGCAGAATCCACCCTGACCACCAAGGCCAACCCACAGTTCTTAGAAGACTTCACCTGGACTCCCTCATGGCTGCAGGCAAGATTTGAAGACAGCTTGAACTTTAAAGCACACACCTGAGTGTCCACAGGATGAGTCGGAAGGCCTTAGAAAGGCTGGAGCACTCACTCTCTCAACTCCAAATCATCCAATAGAGATTTGACTTTGCTTAGAGCCCTTCAAAGGCTTTCCCGGCCAGTCAGCTCTCTGCAGCAGAAGGAAGATTAGTGTTTTTGCCATATCCTCCCTTGTTTGGGGTGCTTTTGGAACACTGAGGGAACTTTTGTTCCTTGAGAGTTTTTATCCTTTAGCAGAATTATTTTATTCTTTTCCCTTAATAGAAAACTGTTTGCAAACCAAACAACCATGCCCAGTTTTTTTGCTTCTGTTTAGTTTTTGAAATTGACTCTCAATGGACCATGTGAAGGCAAAGGAGTTGCGGGTTTGAGAGGGGAAGCAAACTTCCAAATCTTTGATGTTCTCAGGTCCTCCCAATTCAGTTAAACTGGGAAGTTTGCCACTTCTTTCAACTGCCTGTGTTGAGTAATGGGAAGTAATGCTTTCCTGAATTTAGGTTTATTAAAGGCCAGATTCTTCTGTGCCTTCCCAGCAAAGATGATTTTGTGCTGCAGGTAATCACTTCCGTGAAGAAATCGATCCAGCAAGGAGCCACAGCTTCTGCCTTCTGACAGATGCCAAGCCTTGCCAGCAGTTGCTGCAGCAGCTCCTCCCAACAGCCCCTTGCAAGAGCACAGCCATGAATGCCTGTTGGCTTTGGCTGCCCTGTGGCAGGGAAGTCCCCAGGGGCACAGGTGTTTGGGGCAGGAGACGGGCACCATCCCTGCCAGAACTCGGGGCAGCGGCACAGGAGGGGAGTGTTTGCTGCCTTTTGCAGCCGTTCCTAAAATTCACGTCCAGCTGTGTCAGATGCTTTAGGGAATGCACTCATTCCAACCTGGGGCAGGCTGGCCAGGCTAGGGGAAGCCCCAGGGCACATGTCCGTGTGTCACAGGGCCCTTTGTGACATGGTGGCCATTGTCAATGGGATGGGACAGGGCAGTGTGTCCAAGGGCCCTTTGTGACACGCCCTGATATAGGTGTTTGGCGGCAACGCAGCCACGCCACAGTGCTCGGAGCACGCGTCTGGTCAGGACAGGACTGAGCGGTGCTGTGAGGAGTCTCCTCGCAGCCAACTCATTCGTCACTGATCCGAAGCATTTCCGAGAGTTCTTTTTATAGCAAGTTCCCTCGAGGCCGGACCACGGGAGTTGGTGACCCAGAGCTTTTCTGAGGCATCCCCGCTCCCTGTGGGCGTGGCCCTCGAGGCCAGGCCACAGGTCTGGTGACCCAGAACTTTTCTGGGCATCACCAGTCCCTGTGGAAGGTGCCCTTGAGGCCAGACCACGGGACTTGGTCACCTGCAGTCCCTGTGGAAGTTGCTCTCGAGGCCAGACCACGGGACTTGGTCACCTGCAGTCCCTGTGGAAGTTGCCCTCGAGGCCAGAACACCCAACTTTGTGATCTGGAGTTTTTCCCGGGCATCCCCACTCACTGTGGAAGGTGCCCTTGAAGACACTCTGTAAGACTTGGCGACCAGGGTCTTTTCCAAGGCGTCTCTCGTACCCTCAAGGTCAACGTGTGGGATGGCGGGGAGACGCTCCGGCCTGCGCAGGCTGCTCAGGCCAAAGAGGAAGAGAGAAGGCCCTGGGGCTGCCTCAGCACAGCAACCTGAGGAGATGCAGCACTTCCAGGCCCTGCAACAGGGTGAGTGCTGGAGCTGGGCCACAGGGCTGCTGGCTGCAGCCAACTTGGCCCCTTCCCATCCCCTGTGGACACACTCAGGGAAAGGGAGGGAGGAAGAGGGGCCAAGGCTCACCTCCCCAGCACTTGTGCTCCATCCACTGGGCACCCCAGGGCCGTCCCTGCCTCTGGAGCGCAGGGCTGGGCTGTGTTCCCTGACCTCTCCTGCAGCCCCTCAGCTCTGCCTGCACTCGCTCTTTGACAGATCCAGGCCAGAACCGGACAGAGGAGCAGGACCACCCCCGTGGCTGCTTTCGCAGAGCAGTTCAGGTACCTGCAGCCATCCCCACCTGGGCTGGGCCTGCTGTCACTGCTCAGCCTGGCACCGCTGCTGGATCACTCTGTCCGACTTCTCTCTCTTCCCTGCCTTTTGTTCTCCTGCAGAGGTTTCTGAAATTCATGGGAATTCGGCGCAGAACATCCAGGACCACACCACCTGAGGTTCTGGCAGAGCCTGACACCAGGACAACTGAGATTGAGGAGAAGCCTGATGTCAGCACTGTGCCAATTAATCACATGGAAACCTCCGACACTGCTGTAACTGAGGACATGGCTAACCCTGACACCGCACTGGCCAATCTCACTGTGAAGGATGACATCGAACTGTCTCATTACACAGCAAAGCCTGACACCAGTTTGGCTGATGACACAAGTGGCTCTGACACTGCAGCGACTGATGTCATGGCCAAGGCTGACGTGGCGCCGATGCCCACTGATGGGACTTCAAACTCCGAAGGGGCACCAATGGGCAGCACAGCAAAGCCTGACACCGCTTTGGCTGATGACAGAACTGGCACAGACAATGATCTCTTGGCCAAGGCTGACATTGCACCGATGCCGATCGACGGCACATCAAACTCTCATGGGACACCAATGGGCGGCACAGCAAAGCCTGACACCGCTTTGTCTGATGACAGAACCAGCTCCGACACTGATATCGTGGCACGAGCTGACATCACACCGATGCCGACTGATGGCACATCAAGCTCAGCCACGGCACCAATGGATGACACAGCAAAGCCTGAGACTGCGTTGACCCTCGACACAATCAACGCTCAAACTGAACCAACTGATCTCATGGCAGAGGGTGACGCCACGACTGAGAGCATCGGAAACGATGACAGCAACCCCACTCAGAGTGTCATCGATGCTCCCAATCTGGACTTTTTAGTGGAGAAAGGTGTCTCCAGTCGGAAGAAAGTAAGCAGTCCTTGGCCAGGGCTCAAGTGCTGCAGGGGGCTTGAGGTCCCTCAAGCTGGGTCTACTGGGCCCCCTAAGCCTTTAAGGCTGCACTCTGTGGTGAGAAGAGAAGCACTTCTTGGGGGAAGCTGGGCAACTTGCTCACTCTGACAACTCTCCAACTCTCCCACTCTCCCCCACTCCCTGTTCAGGTGCCGGCCATCGTGAGGTACATCCACCAGTGCCTCACCTTCCACGTGTCTCCAGATGTCAGGCAGCACATTGACATCCGCAGCCTCGCTGACACAAACCCTCATGAGGTTGTGATGACTCTCCTGCGCTGTGCCCCAGCGTGTGACAGGTACAGGGCCCAGCTGCCTTGCTGGCTCAGGGATCACCAACCCTTACAACCCATCACCCTCTAGAGCCTGTCCCACCTGCTCTGCCAGAGAGATGGAGAGTTCCAGGAAACTCTGGTCCCTCCATTTCCCAGCCCTGGCCTGTCAGCCCCTGATCCTGCAGCCATGTGCCCTCCGTGCCCCTCAAGGCACTTTGGCTCTGTCACCTGGGCCCCCAGAGCTGCCCAGGCCATGGTGCTGTGGCTGTGACCCCCCTGATGCAGAGCTCTGATTCCACAGAGCTGCTGCAGTGATGTGGAGCAGCATCGCCTCCTCAGGAACAACAGTGGAGAAGGTGCTGCCAACACTGCTCGAAGTGATGGAGGACTGGCCAGTGCACACCGTGTCCACCTGTGATGGCGACGACACAGACATCTTTGCCCTGGCTGTGAGTTTCAGGATCTGGCCTTTGCTCCTCCCCAGGTTGCCTCTCCAGCGACTCTCCATCCTCCGCCACCACTGCATCTCCCTGCCTCAGGCATTGGGCTGCAAATCCATCTGAGGGGCAGGTTCAGGGACACCAGGCTGGCTGCTCTCCCTGTCTCTCCCCTGGCCTCTCCCTTCCATGCTCTGGCCCTGCCACATGGACGTCTCGCACTGAGCGCTGTCTCTGTGTCATTTTATTGCAGGCAACCTTGGCACTCTGGCTGATCATCCAGGAGCCCGAGTGCCAAGATGCTGTCGTCAATTATGCACCCCATCTTCTAGTGGCACTGCTCTTCCAAATTTTCATGAGCACAGAGCAGATGCCAGAGGACGTCAACACTTTCTGGAGGGGATGCCAGGAGGAACATGGCCTTCCCAGCAACCCCAACAGGTGCTCCATCCCAGTCCTCTATCCCTCCCATGCCCTTGGGACTGGGGCCAGGGCTCCCAGTATGACCTGGCCTTTGCTCTGCACACAGGTTTGCAGTACAGACCCTGAAGGCCCTGCTCTGCCGCCTGCACTGGGAGAATGAGGTGGTGGCCATTGAANCCTCGCTGACACAAACCCTCATGAGGTTGTGATGACTCTCCTGCGCTGTGCCCCAGCGTGTGACAGGTACAGGGCCCAGCTGCCTTGCTGGCTCAGGGATCACCAACCCTTACAACCCATCACCCTGTAGAACCTGTCCCACCTGGTCTGCCAGAGAGATGGAGAGTTCCAGGAAACTCTGGTCCCTCCATTTCCCAGCCCTGGCCTGTCAGCCCCTGATCATGCAGCCATATGCCCTTCCTGCCTCTGAAGGCACTTTGGCTCTGTCACCTGGGCCCCCAGAGCTGCCCAGGCCATGGTGCTGTGGCTGAGACACCCCTGATGCAGAGCTCTGACTCCACAGAGCTGCTGCAGTGATGTGGAGCAGCATCGCCTCCTCGGGAACAACAGTGGAGAAGGTGCTGCCAACACTGCTCGAAGTGATGGAGGACTGGCCAGTGCACAGCATGTCCACCTCTGATGGCAACGACACAGACATCTTTGCCCTGGCTGTGAGTTTCTGGAATTGGCCTTTGCTCCTCCCCAGGTCACCTTCCCCACCACTGCATCTCCCTGCCTCAGGCATTGGGCATTGCAAATCCATCTGAGGGGCAGGTTCAGGGACACCAGGCTGCCTGCTCCCCCTGGCTCTCCCCTGGCCTCTCCCTCCCACACTTGGGCCCTGCCACATGGATATCTTGCACTGAGCGCTGTCTCTGTGTGGTTTTCTTGCAGGCAACTCTGGCACTGTGGCTGATCATCCAGGAGCCCAAGTGCCAAGAAGCCCTGATGAGTTATGCCCCACAGTTCCTCGTGGCTCTGCTTTTCCAAATTTTTATGAGCACAGAGCAGATGCCAGAAGACGTCAACACTTTCTGGAGAGGATGCCAGGAGCAATATGGCCTTCTCAGCAACCCCAGCAGGTGCTCCATCCCAGTCGTCTATTCCTCCCATGCCCTTGGGGCTGGGGCCAGGGCTCCCAGTATGACCTGGCCTTTGCTCTGCACACAGGTTTGCAGTACAGACCCTGAAGGCCCTGCTCTGCCGCCTGCACTGGGAGAATGAGGTGGTGGCCGTTGAACGGAAGTGTGGCTGGGAGACACTGCTGTGCTGGGACACCCACCACTATGCAGTGGGGCTGCTGGCCAGGTGAGACACCCTTCTCCCCACTGCCTCTGTTGTCTCTCCTCTTGGCACTGGGCATCCCACACAGCCCCTGTGGGCATGGGCCAGAGCACCTTGACATCAAGGGATGGCTGAGCAGATTGGAAAATGCTGTGGGAGGCGGTTGCACAGGAGGAGCTACCTCCCAAAACATCCCTGTTCTGTCCAGGGCTGGTGGGAAAAATCTAGGCCGCTGTGAGACAGTTCTTGGAGAGCTTTGCCCACCCAGCTCAGGCTCGATGGCTCTGTTTTTCCTCCTGACAGGGAGATGCGCGGTGTCTTGGTCCCCTTCCATTCCCAGATGACAATCCACCTGCTTGGGCTGCTCAGCAGGGACCAGCCTCGCTGGGAGCTCCCTGCCCTGGCCTTCCTTGTTGAGGTGAGCCTGATGGCGAGTGCTGCCTCGCCCGCCTGCCTCCCCCTCTCTGCCTCCTCACAGCCGCAGCTGCCCGGGACGGTGCCTGCACCCTGTGCTGCTGCCTGGGCCCAGCCCTGGGCAGCTCCAGGCTCCTGCCACCCGGGCACCCCTTCACTGATCTCTGCCTTCCAGCTCCTGGACTATCTGGATGGGAGAGAGTGTCATGACAGGGTCCTGCCCATCCTGTCAAGGAACCTGCAGAGCCAGTGCCCAGACAGGCGTCGCCTGGCACTCAGAGGCCTCCTGGTTCTCAGTGTGGATCCCTCGATGGTGAGAAGGGGACACCTGGCTGAAGCCACACTAGCAGCCTGGGGCTGGGGAACGCAGGTGCTTGGTCTTGGCTGGACTTTGGGAGCTGTGGCTGCTGCTCCCAGCTCTCCTGCCTCCCTGTGCAGCTGCCCAGGCCCTGTGGGACAGGCCTTTGGCCTCTGGGCTTTGTGGGGTTGCACCACCAGAGAGCTGTTGGTGGGGCAGCTTCACAGCACAGCACTGTGTTCCACACAGGCTGAAAGCATCTGCAGCCTGGCTGAAAGCCTCCTGGAGCTGCTGCATCATGAAGACGGAGAGCTGGTCGGGATGACCCTCTCTGTGTTCCTCAATGTGCTCCGGGACGAAGACCTTCAGGCATTCAGCTCTGCTGCCCCGAAGCTGGCTGAGGCACTGCGGCCTCTCTTTGACAATGTAAGGCTCTGGTGCTGCCATGAAACGTTTTGCCCTGTGGATTTTCAGGCCTCTGCCTGGTGGGCCTGGAGCAGCCAATGCTGAGGTCTTTTTCTCTTCTTCTACACCAGGACAACAGCCATGTGCAGCTGCTCTCCATTCGTCTCTTCCGAGAAATGATGGAGTTTCTGGCAGAAGAGGGACAAAAGACACTGGTGCAGCAGAGCCTGGTGCCGCTGTTCTTCCGCTGCCATGACGAGAAACAGTGCGTGGCAGAGGTGAGCACTTGTGGGCTCTGGTGTCCCCGTGGCAGGGGGCTCGGCTGCCTCTTGTCCTGGTGCCTCGTGGGCTCCAGCCTCTTCCTGGCCTTGTCTCAGGGATGCAGGTGCTGTGCCCTGGGCTGTGGTGCAATATCTTGGTCTCTGCTGCTCTGCAGGCCTCTCGGGAAACACTCCTTTGTGCTGCAAGTTTCCTGAAGAGAAGGGATCTTGAGCAGCTGCTGAGGAAACAGCAGCACTTTGAGTTCTGCGATTGCCTGGTAAGGACCACCCCGAAGGCCCAGCCCCAGGCTGGACAACCTGCAGCCCCTGATGTGCAGTGTGTGGGGCTGGCCCTGTGCCCCTGCCCACTGCTGCACCCAGCTGTGGGACACCAGCCTGTACCCCACACGCTGCTCCCTTCCCCGGTCGTGTGGGCTCTTCTCCAGGCTCTGCTGCCCCTGAGCCAGGGGGCTGCTGGAGCCCCAGCCCAGCTGGGCTGTGGGGCAGGGTGGCCCCGTGGCTCCCCACAGGCAACTCTGCTCCCTCCAAAGCCCGACACCACTGGGCCTCAGGGCTGTGCGGGCAGGGGAGGCCAGTGCTGGGAGCAGGCAGCGCCCGGCCAAGGGGCAGAGCCTCATCCAACCCTTCCCTCTGTGCCCTGCTGTTCTCTCCAGATGGACAAGGATGTCAGCCGAAGGGACGAGCACCTGCGCCAGGCCTTGCCCTACCTGCAGAGCCCACAGCAGCCCCTGCGAGATGTGGCCGTCAGGTTCATGGGTGAGCCACAAGCCCGCGGTCCCTCCCTCCCCACTGCATCTTGGCTCCAGCCCCGGCTGCTCCAGAGGCAGCAGGATGGGGCCCAGAGATATGCTGTGAAACTCTGAGTGCCCTGGCAGCTGCTGCTGCCCTCTGCCAGCTGCACCCTTGGGTTTCCCGATGCGGGAATGCCCCGGGCTCAGCCCTGCCAGGCCAGGTGTGGCCGTGTGGCTGGGCTGGCAGCGCCGCTGGGGTGGAGCTGTGCCGCTGGGGCCCTGACACACTCTCTGTTCCCAGGGGTCGCCGCCTGGCACATGAAAGACCTGCAGCCCATCATGAAGGGTGAGTGAGGACAGCGGGCTCTCACTGGGGGCTGGTGGGGAGGAGCACAGACCCTGGGCACGGAACTGCAATCCCTGCCCCGCCTGCGAGGGACTTTGCTCCCTGCATGGACGAGCTGCACTGTGGGCAGAGCAGGGGCATATTTCAGGGGCACAGGGGGCATCAAGGGCCGGCACCTTCCCGCTCATCCTGTTGGCCCCTTCTCCCTCCTGGCCATGGCAAATCTGGCTGGGATGGCCTTTCAGGAGGGGCTCCTTGAGTCCCTGCACATCCGGGCTGTGACCTTGGCTCCATTCCTCTCTCTTCCAGCCCTTGAAGTCATGACTGAAGATGACTGCCCCTCCTCCTCCACCATGCGGACTGCAGTCTTGTCTGCTTTTCGATGGGCAGTAACAAAGTAATCCTCTCCACCGACACAAGCAGCGTCCCTCCAACAGCACCGAAAGAGCAAGGGACGAGTCAGCTTCTCAGCGCAGCTGGAGCTGCAGCTGATGCTGGGCCCAACTGAGCCAGCCGGCAAGGCCAGGCAGCTCCTGGCCCGCCCATCCTTATGGACAGCTCCTTCCCTTCCCCTTCCCCTTCCTCTTCCCCTTCCTTTTCCCCTTCCCCTTCCCTTTCCCTTTCTCCTTAGGTTAAGAAGGTTCAGCCCTCCCCTTCCCCTTTGGTTAATAAACATTCGCTTTCTCCCCCTGAGATGCATCATTGTGGAACTCAAACAGCACAAACCCTCAGCCCTGCAGCTCACGGGCCCACTCCTGCCTTGCTTTTGCCCCTTGTGTCATGGGCACACACACACAGGGACAAGGGCACTTCAGCCTGCAAAGGACCCTGTCCGGAAGGGCCACTTCCACAACATTAAGTGCACTTCAAGATCTTGCTGGACACACTGAAGGCCACTAGTCTGAACCTGCAAGACACACTGCGAGCAATAGGAGCTCGAGCTGGCGTTCCTGTTCTCAGAGAACTGGAAGGAATTCAGCCTTGCCAGGCTTTCTTAGGTGTGTGCTGGCATTCCCCAAGAAAACTACAGATTTGGGTCATCCCTCTGGAGGCAAGGAGCTTACTTCTTAAGGAAAGTGCTGAGGTAACTACAAATGTCTCCCTCTGGCTCTCGGTGCTCCTTTCACACCTTGTGTCCCATGGCACTTGGGAGAGGGCCAGGGGAAGGGGGAAGGCTGTGAGGAGCAGGCTTGGCTTCTCTCTGTGCCTGCAGAGACCGACCCAAGCAGCTGCCAGCAGAGTGTCTTACCCACCTTTCAGTAGAGGTCTGAGCAGGAGCATCTCTGTCCAACCAAGAGCCCCAAAGCTCTCACAGAGAGCTGGGAACTAAAAGATCTTTATCCACACCCTTATCCCATCTTATCTATCTGGGATTTTTCATTCATGCATTTGCCTCTTGCTTGGTGGAAGGTGCTCTGGGCCATGGCCAGCACAGAGCTGGGGTGCATGGGCCAGTCATTGTGGATGGTCCTTCTCTCTGATCTTGGCTGAGCTTGGTGTATCCTTGGCCTTAGCAAAGGTTTGGAATGTTTTGCTCCCAAACGTGCTGCTCATTGGCTCTTCTTGCATTGGAGTCCCATGTGATAGCATGATTTCTGTACCTGAACGTTTAAAAAAACCAGCAAGTATTCTAAAACTCATGGAAAAAACAGGTGAGTTAGAGTTGTAAGTAATTCTGATGAGCAGCAGTACTCACTGCTGGCCAGTTTTCTACTGGAGGAAAAATCATGTGGATGCATATGATGTGAATCTAATTAATTTTGTTTATCCACTCAAACACTGGAACATTCTGGAACTGATCATCTCAAACAGCATCTAAACACACCCCTATTCTGAACTCCCAGCCAAAGGCCAAATGTCCTGTTCTCAAAGAGAACTGAGGAGTGACATGAAGTCAGAACGTACCCTTCCTACTCTCCAGACATCTGCACAGTGGAAAAACATCCCCAGTTCTGTATTTTCTTCAAGGAATCAAAACATCCATACACACAATGACCTTGCGAGGCTGAATGCAGCAGCACCATCTGGTGATGACAGCACTGATCATCCCTGCACAGCTCCAGGAGCCAGGCAGGACTGCAGGAGCATGGATTCCCTTCTCTTTCTCCGCAGCACCTCGGAGACCAGGTTCCAGGCATGGCACGGTGATTCATTCCGTGCCCTCCAGTGTTCAGCTAGGCTGGGCTTCTCCCAGTGCTTCCTGCCAAGCTGGATTGTTTCCTGAGCAGTTGGTTGATGACACAGAGTTGTTCCAGAAATCCCCTGAGAAGAACGAACAGATCTGATGCGCCTGAGCAGCAGCATGCTGGAAGACATGCAACGACAACAAACAGAAAATAAAGCACAAGAGGCAATCTAATCTGAATTATGGGTAAATTACAGGATAAAAAAGCAGGTTTGATAACCTGCCACTCTGAGAGAAGATTTTGGTGTAGTAGTGGAGAACCTCCTGGAAAAAAAAAAAAACAGCTTAGGGCTCACCAACAGTCAAAAAGACAAATAGACTATTGGTAATGATTAGAAACAGAACTGACAGCAATGCCAAAACTGTCACTCAGGCACTTTATAAATGATACACCCATACCATTTATTATGTTCAAGCCCACTTCTCCCTGCATCTAAAAAACTGCAGAGTAGAACTAGAAAACACACAGAAAAAAAGATGATGAAGATAATGAAAGGCATGAAACATGGTTGAGAAGGGAGAGAGACTCTCTAGCTTGAGATTTCTGGGTCTGGGAAGGAATGACTGAAGAGGAAAATGTGAGAGACATCTGTACAGTCAAAAACTGTATGAGCTGGATGAATGGGAAAGGATTTTTCATTCTTTCCCAGCCACAGCCTAAAGGGCAGTCACAGAAATTTTGAGGTCACAGGTTTAAAACATATAGAAGCAAACACCTTTTCACAAAATAATTTAGAATTCATTGCCAAAAATGGGGGGCAGAAATATAAGTGGCCTCATAAAGGACTAGATATTTATGGAGGATAGACTTACTAGTGGCTACTGACCATGAGATAAACCCTGGCTCAGGAACTTCTTAAACCACAAATTGCCAGCTGAGAGGAATCAACAGTGGATGGACATGGAACAGCATAGCTGAGATATGATGAATCTAGGAGAGACCCAGTGAGCCTATTGTGTTCCCCTGGATTGTAATTTCCATGTCTAAGTAAAAAACTGCAGAATGACACCTCTTTAGACTGGCTTAGGCACCATTTCCTGCAGGTGGATGAATGGCCATAGATGGGAACAACTCTCTGAGTTTACTCCTGCATTCTTCCTTCAGGTCACAGTGACCACAAGGATAAGTTTATGCAACTTCTCTCTTGTGTTTTTGGGGGTCTATCTCGAAAACTTGCAATTCAGCTCCATAAACAAAGCCAAAGAATTTGGCCAAGTTCTGTTGCAAGCTTATGATTTAAACCTGGCCTTATCTCACACTGCAGCTATACACAAATTAGAGCCTTTTTCCTACCAAAGTGTGAATTATTCCCTTCTTCAGTAACCTATAATTCTGTAATAATTTAGTGTCATCCTCATTTGGCAAGTTAAGAGCAAATGCTTAAATCGTTCCACTTCATATTTCTACCAGACACTGGTTACATTCAGCAGTCAGTCTGTAAAGTGATGGAAAAACTGTGGCTTTCATAACAACCATTGCAAAAAATGCTGCTGACACTTCTTGTAAATGAAACTGCAGCTAAATACACTATAAAAATACAAAAATTAAAAGAGCTGTAGAGGCAAGTGAAGCAGGAACTAACTCTATTTTGTTCCTGTATTAATTTTATTCTATTTATACCACTTGCCTTTTATAGTTCTTTCTATAAGAGTGCTTGTTAAACCTCTAAATAACGACAGCTGCTAAAGACCAAATATCTCATTTGTGGAATCATTTGTGGTCTGGAGGGGGGAAAAGAAAAGATCCAATTCCTCTCTAATGATAATAATTACAGGATCAATCCCAAACTCATTGAAGTCAAAAGCAGCGCTGCCACTCATTTAAGCTATATAAGGCTTGTGTGTCTGCTGTTGATCCTGATTTATTCCAGTGCAGACTAGAAAAAGAGATTTTAGCCTAATATCAGCTTTTCTTAGTTACCATGCATACTTATTTTCCACTACTACATTAGAGCTCACCTGATCCTTATTATTTTTTATTTTTTGGAAAACACCAGGTCATTTTATAAAGTGCTGGTATTATAAACTGCAGAATATAGTTTATAAGAGCCCTAACTCCTACAAGCCAACCATTAATACAGCTAATGGCCTGTTTGTTGTATTAAACTGCTCTCATTTGTCTGGGTCCATTAACAAATGCAGTGGTCATTAACTGTTAACAGCAACTCAGTTATTAGATTTTATTACTTGTACAGGAAACACTGGAGAACAAACTGATTGTTCTGATTTACTGGGATTTATTTCTTTCCCAGCAGTCTTGCCCTACTATTTATAATTTAGTTTCTCACTTATTCCCGAATATGATGGACACACTCAGGAATGGGTTCAAGACATCTACATGGATAGTTGGTTCACGTGCCAGCCCCTCCTGCCAGTCCCTCTGAGCCCAAAAAACCCCTCCTTTAAACCAGAGAGCTCTGAGGCATCAGGCGTCTGCAGTGCCCTCTGCTTTTCTGATTTTTCTGTATCTTTTTGTTGGGCAGCAGCTTTCACCCACATATATAATAACGGGATTTCAGTAAAGATACATTAATGTGTACGTGGGAGGCTGTAGAATCTTCTGCTTCATTCACGGTTTTGTCTTTCTAATTCACTGGAATCCAACATTCAAGTTTAAACATATCTTTTAGCTCCTCTTTGTTGAGACTGATGCATCAAACAAGGCTTTCTGTTTTGCATGAAGATTTTGTCCAGATAATTGTACAGTTCTCTTCTGGCCTTCTGGTTTACAAGCAAGCCTAGAGCCACAAATGCCTACAGGTGAGGAATATTACCCAGTATTATCAAGATCTGAAAGACCTTCCCTCCCACATTCTGAATGCTGAAGACCACTGATGCACACCTCTCTCTGCTTTCTTCACCCGCATTTGGTTCAGAACAATGGAAAAACAACACCAGTGTCAAATTGTCATGAGGGACTGGCAGCAGCTTCTCATGAAAGTGGCTTTCATCCAGCAGTCTGAGCAGTTTTCTTCAACCTGCAGTGCCCTGGTATACAAGACACTACTGTTTTGTACAAGCAGCACAGGTGATTAGAAAGTGTTCTATTGTCCCTGGTGTAGAGGTTAAAGCCTCTTGTGTATGCCTGTGCCTGTGTTTCACATGGTACATGCATAGGGATGTGTAGTGCTGTGGTGCTGGAGACTCAGAGATACGAGTCAGCTTATCTGCTCCTGCCTATAGACAAGGCACTTCAGATACAACTCCCCTCCTAACAGCTTCTGATAACAAACTTCCTTCCTACCCTCTTTCCAAAGCTAGCACATGCTAACACGTTATGCAACAAAACCAGTAGGACAAGAAATATGTAAGTATTTAGGAAGTCCAAGGATGTGGACTGTACATCATTGAGAAGCAGAGAGTTGCTGGGAATGGCCCCAGATCTTAAGACATTCTCCTTACCCAGTGGTAATAGGGTAGAATAAAAAGAGCATCTCTGCCTCTTTTAGCTCCT